AATGAGTGAACGCAGCTGGTTAAGGACAATGCCAGTGAGGGACGTGGACAGATGAAAGCTCCGCTCCCTGGCCCGTGTGCCAGCCAGGAAGGGCACAGGGTAACCTGTGGGCACAGAGCAGCACAGCCTACTCCCAGCCCAGGAAATCCACCAAAGGCCGGGCGCAGCATCCCCTGAAAAGGCCAGCAGTGGGAAAGAAGGTCTCCCTTTCCTTCCTCTTCCTGCCCTCAGGAGGTGGTACAAATCAACAGGGAGCCCAGCAAGGGAAGTGGAAGCAGGGATGACAGCTCTGCTCAAACACCGGATCGTCTGTCCCAACTGACCAAGAGTTGCCTCTATTTGGCATGTAAACATTTGGCCTAAAATCAACTGCCAACCAAGGTTTCATAATATCCAAAGCTATCCCAATTATTCAAGAGCTCTTGTGAAATTCTCAAAATAAAATAAGCTCAAATTCACTTTCATTTAAAAAAAAAACTGCTTGTGGTATGTCTTCTGAGATAGGCTGTCATACTATCAAACAAATGAGAACAGATTATCACTGTTCCTGAACCTGACTGGAAAAATCATAAAAGTAACTGGCATGATGCTGAAAGGTGACAAGCAAACTCAAGCCACTTTGAGCCTTCAGAAGCCCAAATAGGCGCGGAGCAAAATGGCGGGGTGAGCTGACCCAGAAGCCCAAATAATTTGGAAAATTACTAATATTTGTCAAAACAATTCAGCAAGTGTCCAAAAGGCTAAGGGGAACTGAATTGTGATCTATAACCACCCTCCAAGCGGGAAAGAATAAAACAAAATCCTGAAACTTTCTGTTGAAGATTGAATTACAAAATTGGAGGAAGAAAAGAAATGCAGCTGCCAGGACAGACCTGAATTTCAGTTAAGCATCGATTCCAATATCATGCAACTTTCGTCAAAAATACGAATTCTCAGCAGCTGAGAAAGAACACAAGAGGACATGAGAAGAAGCCAGGAAAGGCAATGAGAGGATGAAGCGAGGAAGCTAAGAGGCTGTGCCCAGGTGAGGCCCAAGCGCGGAGAAGCTGTGGGACCGGGGGGAGGCCTGCCCGGCCCCAGGGGGCTGGCTTCCCAGCTGACACAGGAGGAGGCGGGGCCTGGGTGAATTCTGCCCAATAGTGGACTCTCTCGCTGCCCTCACTAAAACAAGGCAGGGCCTGAGAGTTTCAGGAGGGAACTGCCTGTTATCCAGCAAGTGGCCTGGTCACCTCTGGCAGAAGTACTTGGCTTCTCACTGTTTTTCCAGGAGTGTTGATGGTGACAGGATGATCTCTGCACATTCTTTGGCCACATCCCCATCGCCCTTCAAGGTGGCTGGGGTGAAGGCTGCAGTCAGAGCCATGCCTGGTCTACTCCAGAGGCACCACCACTGCTGGGTACCCTGAGCGCTAAGCCCCATGCAAGTCCCCAAGGCTGTAGCTTGCCCAAAGTCACACATCTAGTTAGCAGCACAGCCCCAACTGGAACCCAGCTCTCCCAACCACAACCACTAATCTACAGCCCTTTCTAGCACAGTTCTTCAGCAGTGGTGGAGCAGAGGGAGTCGAACTGTGAGTGGAGCCAGACACCAGCAGACACTGCAATGGAGTCTATGAACCCAGAGAGAGGAGCCTCTTTGACTCATCAGGGGCAGCTTCTTAAGGGCACAAAGGGAAAAAAACAAAAGCAAGTTTATACTCATAGGGAAACATAATCTGTGATTATAAATATTTCATGAGCAAAGAAAGTGGTACTGGTAGAGAGACCGGGGTGGGGAGGGTGGACAGCAAATTAGATCCCAGTTTGCAAAGTGATAGGGCAGCTGGAAAAGCAGGAACGCTGCGGCTATTCTGGGCTGTGTGCTGCGAGCCCTGCGTCACAGTGGGAGAGCGGGCTCCGGCCACCTGGCTCTGTGGAAACCACAGCCTTCCAGTGGTCAGCACACAACACCTTGGGAGGAGGGTTTAAGCCATGGAAGCCCAGAGGAGGGGACAGCGAGGACAGCCATTTGAATGACTTGGGTAAACCTCAACAGCAGGGAGGCGGGGGAGGGGAAGCAGCAGAGCACCCAGTACCCCAGAAACTCATGAAAGGATGAACACTTTCTGCTGACTAAGCACAGAGGAAGAAGTGAGCTCGACCCCAGAAAGCAAGTGCCCTGCAAAGCTGGAGGGCAGCTCGGGTCAAGTTGTCCCAGTCAGAGCAAAGGCCCAGCCCTTGAGCAGATGGTGCCAGACTGAGAATAACAATGCCACCTTTCCCTTCCCTCAGGACAGGGGTCTCTTCTTCCCACAGCCTTTGGGAAGCAGCCCAGAAAGTAGAGAAATGAGGAGCTTGCTGAGTACCTGCTGCTGCAGCTGGAGACACATACTCACAAAGCAGGCCCCAGTCGGGGTGGGTTCCTACTCCCCGGCCATGGTCAGCCACTGCAGCAGAGCATGTCAGCCAGTCTCCTGGCCCTTCCAAGGGCCACATGGAGAGGGGTATTAGCTCCTCACATACCCAAAGGTACTCTGAATCAAGCTTAGTCAAAGGAGCCCTAGGGTTGGTGCACTCCTCAACCCTCAATTTGGAAGAAAACTAACTTCCTTGCAGTTGAGGCTTAGTGAGCAACAGGCTCCAAAGTGTACAAATTTCCTGAATTTGGGAAAATCAGATCATTATCCTCCAGGATCACAGGTAGTGAGAATCAACTCAAGATGGAGAGGACCCACTAGCCACAAAAGTAAGATGTCGCAACGTTGTGGGAAGACCTGAGTTGGAAGTAACAGGATCTGGCTTTGAGATCAGCTTTACCTCCTATTATTTGTAGAACCCTGAGAAATCACGTTACCTCTGAAACTCAGTGTCCTCATCTAAAAAAATGGGACCAGTATCTGCCAAACCTGAAGACACTGAGGAACACCAAAAATATACGTATACATAAATGCTTTCAAAATAGATACTAAGTGCTATTCTAATTTAAGAGATTATTTATAGCCAGCTACCTACTTGACATTTCATGGATGTCTCAAAGGCACCTCCATTCAGATGCCCCCTCTGCTCTTCCTCCCCAACTCTTGGGCCTCTCCTAGAGCGCCCCGGCTCGGTGTTCAGCAGGACCAACCATCCATCCAGGCATGACAGAGAGAAACCTAGGACCCATTCTTGGCCCTTCCCCACCCTATTAACACATTACCAAGCCCAGTCAACTGTGTCTCCTAAAGGCTTCTACTTCCCTCCTTTACCACCATCCTAGTCCAACATGTCGTCATCTTGCACAGTCTGCAAAGCCTACGCTCATCCATTCTGGCCACTTTCAGCCTCTCTCCACAGAGCAAATCTAACCATGTCTCCCCTCCCACCACCCCTACCCCACTTGCTAAATACTCTACCACAGTATCCCAATGCCCTCAGGATAAGGAAACCTCCTTCCCAGGCTCATGAGGCCCTGCATGGCCTGGCCCTGCTCCTCTTCCAGCCTCATCCTACACCATGCTCCCTCTTGCTCTCTGTGCTCCAGCCATACTGGCTTTTTTTTTTTTTTTTTTTGAGTGCCTTGTACTTATCCCATTTCCTCCTGCCACAGGGTTTTTGTACATGCTCTCCCTCTCCCTGGAACATTTTCCCCCTCCTCTCTCACCTAGCTAAATGCTTACCCATTTATTTTTACTAAGGTATAAACTACATCAAATGCACTAAAGTATATAGCTCCATAATTATTTACAGATGCATATACTCATGTAACTCCCACCCAGATCTGGATTTAGAATGTTTCCAACACCCAAGATTCCCTCTTGCCCCTTTCCAGTCTATACTTCTCTCCACCACCAGGTAACCAGCATTCCAACTTCTATCACGGTGCGTATCGTTCTTAGGATGCAGCTGATGCAACCCTTTTTCAGGGAAGTGGCCTGCAACCCCATGGAAAGGTGTAACCCTCTACCAGAGGCACTTGTTACACTTGAGGATTTGCATTTGTTGGAGCAATTATGTGATCTGGATAGACTTCCCCAGGACACTGCAAGCTCCACAAGGGCAAGGACCGTATCGCTCACACTTACCATTGTTCCCAAGCACTGGCACACGCAAAGCAACAATAGAAAATAGCTAATACCTTTCGAGTGCTCATTGTCAGGCACTTATAGGTCCTGCCTCAGTCAATTCTCAAATCAACCCTGTCACACAGGTACCATTATTACATCCTCATTTTACAGGTGAGGTAACTGAGGGACAAAGAAGTTAAATAACTTGCCCAAGTCAATAAGTGGTAAGTGATGGAGTCAGGATTCAAACTAGGCAGTCTGGCTACAGAGCCTGTGTTCTTAACCATTATGCTACTCTGGCTTTCAGAGGCCTGTGGAATATTTAATGAGTATGTGTCCAGGACATTTTGAATGAGTAAATCAATGAATTTACAAATGAGTTGATGAGATTCCATTAAAGAAACTAAGGGAGCCCCCAAATCTCACCAAGGAGACCAACAAATAAACAGAAGATAATTGTCACTGAATCACCTGCACAGGCCCAAGATTAAGTCATCTGCAAACTACAAGGGCTAGTCCATTCCCAGCAGTCAAAGAAGGAAGCTTCCTGCTATGGGCACAGAGGAGCATTTTGGTCCCTAGCAGAGGGTACTCCACAGTAGAGAAAGGATTACTGCCCGGGTTCTATGGAAGCCTAAGGCAATGTTCCACTAGATTACATAAGTCCCTCTGCTCTTCTTCATGCTAACCCAGTAATCTTTATAACCATTTAACATCTCAGGCCCTCTGACACAGGAAGAGGATACTTTGGATAGTGGGAGTAAAAAAAAAAAAGTCTGCCTGGTTAGAAAGTGACAGATTCCACTGTACATTCATAAACTGGCATTTGGTTTGTACCTCAATTTTCAAAGCCTGATAATCGTGGATGCTCACAGGCTACCCCATGCAAAGACTGCCATCTCGTGTGGCCAGACACAAGTGAGCCAACTTTAACTGCTTCAGTGCCATTTACCTCATAACCACATCCCAGAAAGCTCAGGAAGAAATATATATGAATATGTTTATTTTCTCATAAGACACTGTTCCCCAGTCCCAGGGCCCCAAGCTCCCTCTCAGCAGAGGCACAGTTCTCAGAACTGCTCCATTCGTGAGCCCCACTGCAGCCAGCGGCCTGGGCTCTGCTCACACAAAGTTCTGCGCAATGGCCAGCACCTTGGAAAACTCGCCTTCCCTCTGGCGTAGGCTGGTAGGGATGGGTGTCTTAATTCGGGTCCCCACAGGGTTGCCATTGTCCTCAATGAGGACCACGTTGTTGGAGTCGAACCTCGGGGTCATCCGAGGACCAGGCATGCGATGCCCCACAATGAGCGCCTTTTTCTTCTGTCCCTTGATGGCCAGTAGTATCCGGTCACCCACCTTGCCAACCCCATTCTTGTTATAGACGTGGATGCAACGAGGAGGGCGATGGTATGGGGTGTTCCCCAGGGCACTGTTGTCTACCACACGCACCCGTGTCATCTTCTGAATTGCACTGAGGCTCCCAGTGGTGCTGGTGGGAGAGAAAAACAAGCCTGAGGTCTATATCTCTCCTGGTCAGGGTGCAGAGGCTTCCAAGAGGGCAAAGCTTGGGAGAGGGTGCACATCAGCAACCATATGCTCAACAGAGCACAAGCCAGGGCCCTGACAGAGTTGGGTGCATGCAGACTTCCCTGTACCCAAGACAGTTCCCTTACAGCCAAAGCTTCTGCTGCCAGGTCAATATCTCGATTTGGATGGGTTTTAGAGAGAACCTGACTTTCTGTTACAACAAAGTTCATGGCAGCCTCAACTTAAAGCCTTTGGTTTCTAAAAAGACTCTGAGGATGAAGGAAATACCCACGGGCCAAGCCTTACCCACTGCCTAGCCTGTAAAACCTGATTCCCAAATTTTCTCATCTTTGTGTTGCTGGAACCAGAAGACGTGCATGAGTAGGTTTGCTAAGGGAGTCCCTTGAAACAACATAGCAGAAACCAGAAATAAGTCAAGGTGACAATCTTTGTTTTAAGGCAATTTTCCCCGCTAGAAAGGAAATTTTTTCTTTTTCCTGAGGAAGATGCACCCTGAGCTAACATCTGTTGCCAGTCTTCCTCTATTTTGTATGTGAGTTGCCGCCACAGCATGGCCACTGACTAGTGGTGCAGGTCCATGCCAGGGAACTGAACCTGGGCCACTGAAGCAGAGTGTGCTGAACGTAACCACTAGGCCATGGGGCCAGCCCCAAAAGGATTTTTTTTTAACGAGTACCTATTAAAGGCAGCTAAGCTATTATTAAGCAACCTGATGTCAGTGGGATTTCTATTTTCCTGATGCTAGCACTTTAAGCACTAGTGTTCTCCCTAGTAATCCTAGGTCCTCTCCTCTCGTTCCACATTGCTTCCAACTAGTAAATTCCATCTCCAGCCTCACTGCTCTCCTATATTCTAGTCCTGTATTTCCACTCTAAACTCCTCACAATGTGTCCTACAGATGCTGCAAGCTCAGTAGGTCCCACACTGACCTCATTGCCCGGCCTTGTAAACCTCCTCCCACTGCTGCATGTCCTAGCTAGACAATGACTTCTCCAGAAACTCCAGCTCCCAAGCCATAAACCTCACTTTCCATCAACATCTACTGTCTGCCAAGTCCTACTGATCTACCTCCCAAGCACCTCTGTCCTTTCCCTCCACCCCATTGGCACTTCCTGAATCCAGCAGCTCACTCTCTTCCACCAAGATTGTTACATTGGTGTCCTAACTGGTTCCCAGTGTGCCTGACTGCTGACAAAGAGCTCTTTTTGGAATATAAAACTGAGGCCACTCCCCTGCTTAGAATTGTGCAATGGTTCCCCACTGTCTACACTGTCAACAACCTGGCCCCAATCTACCTGCCTTCTGAGATCCATCATCTCCTACCAATCACACACCCATTCTGTGCCCCAGGGGCTGAGAACCTCTGGAGCTCGCCAAGCACACCATCTCCTACCACTCACACACCCATTCTGTGCCCCAGGGGCCAAGAACCCCTGGAGCTCGCCAAGCACGCCATGCCTTGCAGCTGTCCCTGGAGGCCTGGACAGGGCTGCTCCCACTTCCCTTCTGGGAAGGCCGCCTCCACTCTCCTTTCCTCCTCCATTAGCAACTCCTGTCTCAGGCCTTTCAAAGCACCACACAAACCTCTATTATTATACTTGTCACATTTTCTTAGTTATTTGTTTCCAAGTTTGCCCCCGTGGCCAACTGTGAGAACTCTTCCAGGGCAGGAAGCAGTTCTTATTCATGTCTCCAGGACCAACCCCAGCACAGTGCTCAGGAAAGGCTTGTGGAATGAGTGCACGAATGGAGCCAAAAGGCATGTTTGCCAACAGGAATGTAACCCATGCTCTCCGTCCTGGCTCAGCATCTAAAAGGAGGCAAGGTTGTCACACTTCTATCATGTTTGAATTTTTGGTAATAAGCATGTAACTTTCAAAAGAAGATTCCATTTTTAAAAGAGAAGGTTTTAATGCACTTGGGGAATAACAGGGTCAAGAGACATCAGATTCACCGCAAGTATGGCAGGGACTAGAAAGCTGCATCTTCGACCATGTGCCATTCCCTGCCCCACCTCCCAGAGCAACATCACCCCTTACCTGTCCCCTCACCTGGCCTAGACCAAACCCCAGCTGAGTCTGATTCCTTTAGCTTTCCCTGACCCCAAACCTACCTCCCTGAGTTTCCACTATCCTTCTAGTCACCATAATACCCAGCCCTGATGGGAGGCTTACTCAAAGACACGGTTTTGAGAACTTAATGGGAAAGTTACCTGAAACAGCGCTGGCTGAGTACTCTGCTTACACGGGTAAGGGGGCCCCAGAGCCCAGTAAAGAAAGCCATGGGATCCCAAGATGGCAAATCCTGCAGAAAAAGAGGGGGGAAAGGATTTATTTCTAAGTCAGCGTCCTCACTCAGAGCCAGTGTTTTTTGTAAAAGACTGTTGGGGGCTTGTGTGGGAGATGGCACTTTTAGCACAGATCATCAGTCACTAAATATAAATCTTAGTGGTTAAAAGATACACAAATGATTAGATGGAACTTCAGCTACAATTCTGCTGACTCATATTCTAACTGGGGTCAGAGCTGGAATGGCCCCCAACAGTTCTTGCCATAAGTAAGACCACAGCAGAGAGAACGCCTTCATCAGGACATCACTTCCACTGGCAGCAGGAAAGCAGAAATCCTCTGGTATACACCCAGTCAGTGACCGCTCGCCAAGTCCTCCACAGACGAAAACCTGCACCCTCCCACCCCTGTGGACACTCATGGGCCTCCTGAAACCAGAACTTTTACTCCCTGAAAGCAAGCAGATTATCTGAGCAACTGCTCAGGTTGTCAGTCACCACATCGCCTTTCCCCTAAGTGTAAAAGCTAGAGCACCTGGATAGCTCAAGGCTGGCAAAGGAGAGCCAAGGGATTCCCTTACCAAGTCACTGACCAAGGTCTCTATTGGGTCAGTCTCCCAAACATTAGAACACAGAAAAACTACCAGCCCATACTGTGGCTGAAAGTGGGGTTTGGGGAGCAAGCTGGAGATGAAAGAGCAAATGCCAACCCAACACCCATAACTCCAAGTGGCAGAACCGCAACCCTGTGGCTCCCTGGCACCACAAATACGGCAACTCCCAGTTTCCTGCAACACCACGGCGTCAGTTAGGGGCACGTTTAAGAAAAACCCACAGCCAGCTAGTAATTCCGGCTGCAAAACACGCTGTTGTTCCATCTAAATGTGCAGCTGCAGAGGGCCGCATCGAGAGCTGTGCTGGGAAAGGCCTCTACCACTGTGCTATTTACACACAGCCTTGCCTCGCCTAAGTTCAAAGCAGCTCAGATAAGATTTTATTTAATAAAGGTGGGGGAAACCCACTATTTACTTCCACAGGAATATCTAGACACTCCAGAAATGCTTATTAACTACAATTTAGCCTCAAGTCACTAGCTTACTCTCCAGTGTTTTCCTTAAGACATCCCAGGAAGCACTGGCCAAAATGTAACTATAAGCAGAAAACTAAGTGCAATAGAAGGCAGCTAACTTATGGAACTATTAACACCTGACACACAGGATGGAAGACCATCAGATGAGGCCAGCTTTACCTTTACGGCTAGGTGACACAGACAAGCAACTACAAGCTTCGGTATCCCTTCGGCACCGTCTACTCACAAGGCGGTCACGAGCACAGCCATGCAAGCATGGGGCACAGTGCCCGGCACTCAGCACCTATCAGCTGTCTTCAGCAGCAGCAGCAGCAGCAGCAGCATCGCCGTCATCCAGTCACATCTCATTTCACAGATTAGGAAACTGAGCTACAGAAAGAGGAAGTGACTTGCATAAAGCCCCACAACTAGCCAAGGGCAGAACCAGAACCAGAAGTGGACGCAGCTTCAATCCAAGGGTCTTCCCACCACACCCTATGGCCTCACTCTGCTGTACAAAGCTCACTTCACACACACAAGGGAGCTCAAGGTGAGGAGCAGCTTTAAGGGTCATCTGGTCCCTTTCTGTTGTCTTTCCTTACGGAAATGTGTCAAGTAGTAATAATGTGTCAGGCACCAGGCCAAGTGCTTTACACCATAATCTCATTTAAGCCTCACAAGAACTCAATGAAACGGGACTATTATCAGCCCCATTTTATATGCAAGGAAAGGAGACCCAGAGAGGTTAGATAATTTGCCGAAAGTCACAGAGCTAGGAGTAACAAAGTCGAAATTTGAACCCCAGTAGTCAGCTTCCTGAGCCCATGTTCTTACTCAACAGTTAACAAGGTAACTTTAATTTAAATATTAATATTTTTCCAACTGTTAAATCATCCTTGTTCCATGAAGAATACTGACATTACATGCACATTTTACTCATATCCAACTTAACACCTGAAGAATCAACGGAAATGTAGACAAAGACCAGGTGAAAATTATTCACTTTAATCCAATTTAAGTTTTGAAGACAATTCACAGTATAGGTGGCAAGAAGAGCTCCACACTCTGAGCAATAACTAAAAATTGGCTTAAAGGGAAAAAAAAGCTCTAAAAGCAGTCTTTCTGGTTCACGCTGCAGTTACCTCCCATCTCAGCCAAGCTTTCCCATCTGATGCTGGAGGACTGTGCTCTCGCTCACTGGGAGAAAAGAGGCTCCTCAGCTCCCCCACAGAACCCTCAAGATTAGCCGGCACCACCCACACCCCCTCTTCTGAGCATCCTGCCTCTCCCCACTGCACGCTTCCTCAACAACACTTACATTAGTCCAAGAACTGGAGAAGGGCCTGGGCCTTCCCACAGCTTTCCTGACTTGGGTATAACAAACTCCACCACTCAAGGCACCTCCCTAAAACCTGCACAGCAGTCTGTGCACAAACCCAAACCCAGGCCTCCTCTCCACGCCTTGCTCACAAGTCAACCCCACAACCTACACCCATGTCTGCCCAGCCTAGTCCGACCCAGCTCCAAACACAGTTCCTCTAAGAAGCCTCGTGCAAAACTGCAGCATCAGTTGCCACCCCTCCTGACCCTGAGGGCATCTGGGTACCCGTGCCAAAGGGACTCTCATTGCGCCCACATTCACTGTCCAAACGCAGACACTGAACAAATCTGGACATTTTTTTTGAGATAAGGCTGATATCCCTTAACATTCTAGTCCCTGATACTCAATATCCAAAATTCAGAAACCACAGGAATCTCGATAGCATGGCATTTGAACTCACTACAGGAATTCCGGAATCAGAGACTCAGGTGGTAAGGATGACTTATACTGCCCTCAGACACAAGAGGAACATAACTGTCTCCAGGGAGCACTTCCATTTTCACAGGAAAAGGCCCAATTCAAAGACTTTTCACTAACTCTTTGGTGTATCTGATAGTGACCTCCAGACCCAAAGGACTTAAGACATCAATGGACAACAGTAAGCATTCCTATGAACTTGACAGCATAAAAGAACCCAATATATTCACTTACTCTATGTCTCTTATTTCTCAAAAACAACAACAACAACAAAACAACCTGTGGTCCCCACCAGTCCCACTCCAGCAAAGATCCCAATAGGTCCTGATAGAGCAGGAGTGCAATAAACATTTGTTGAATGAAATAAATGAGGTAGCCAACAGAAAGACAGCTCCCCACCCATGGCTCGTCTTATCTGTATCTCAGGAACCAAGGACATCACACACAACTTGCTTTAGGACCATGGTGCTGGCCAGGGGAGGGTCAGCCCTGTTATGTTTACAGGCCCCTGACATCATCTCCTGGGCCTGGTGCCCACACTGCCCACCATGGAAAAACACCTCATCCCCCCACTAAATAACTGGTTCAGAGCAGGGAAGAGTAATGGAAGCAGCAATTCAGTTCAAAGCAACTTTGACTGACCTTGATGTTATTTCCCAGCATAAATCCATCCTGTAGACACAGGCCCTGATTCACTTCAGATGTAGTCTACATACAATGCTTTGTTTCACAAGTAATGTTATTCTGAGTCTTGTGTTTGCATGGAAAGTAATGCCAGTGATATTTCCTCCTCTACAACACTCTCACTCAGAAGAGGCCAGGTATTCCGGAGACTCCAGTGCCAAACATGGCTTCTCATGCCACTTCCCGGTCAGCGCTGAGTACTGCCCTCCAGGTTTAGAGTATGAATCACAACCTCTCCAGAGAAAGGGGAGGAAAGGAGAGAAGGAGAGAGAAAGAAGGAAAGGAGGGAGGGTGGAAAAAGGAAAAAGAAACTACTTAATACACTCCAAGAGCCGTGCTCATTTTCCATCCTGGTTTAAGATCTCCCTTCAGCTGGGGAGGCCAGAGGGGACTGTAGATTTCAAGGACACACAGGTGAGTTTTTCACTGGGTATCACCTTATAGGTCCCATTGGAAGTATACGCTCTGTGAGGACAGGGACCGTGCCTGCCTACTCTGTATAGTGTGGCATACTCAGGGCTCAGAATAGTGCCTGGCACACAAACGGAGCTCAGTGAGCAGTTGTTAAATGAATAAAATTAATTTGCAATTGCAATTCATCCTCTAGCTCCAGAGAGGCTCCATGTTGGGGGGTTGGTGGTCTTTCTTGTGCCCTTCACCCAGGCTCCCAGAGAGTTGAGACAGCATCGTAGGCCCTGGGAGCGCATTTTTAGCTAATTTTAATACATAGAGACTCAGCTGGAAAAGCAGACAGAAAGAGCCTACACCTCTGATGCTTTGTGGAAAGCTGGAAAGTACCACTACTTAAGCTTTTCGCATCATCAAAATGTTGTACTTAGTATCACAGACCTATATATAATTATACATTGTTTCCACTTGAACAATTGCCATCTTTAGGTGCCCAGCATGCTATATACATTTTAAAGGTCTTTCAAGAGCAATGGGTTCTAAAGAAAAGAGACAAAACAAATAAAAAGTTCACACAATCACAAAGGAGTGTTTAAAGGAGATTCTGTTAGTAAGTAATGGAAGAGAAAAGAAACACTGAGAGAAGTCAAATACATGCCCAGCCACAAAGAGGACAAACTCCACCTGGTGTAAAGGTGTAAAATGTTGTTCTGCATTAAAGCAGAGGCCTAGCAGCCTCCAGGGGTCAGAAAAAGGAACTCCCTGGAGCCTGCACCGTGCCACACAGAAACAATCCCTCCCATCTTCTGCAGGTTTCGCCCCAGCCATTCTGGACCCAGAAGCACTCTTATTTGTTGCTTAAGAACTCATCACTGTTTTGTTGTCCAACGATTCTCTTTCAGGAAGTTTTGGGGGTTTTTAACCTCACATAGTATAACATGTTACAGTTCTCCAAGTACTTTCCCACAGATCACTTTCTTGGATGATTTCACTCCTGAGCACCCAAGGGAAACACAAATAACAAAGAGCAACAGCCAGCAGGGGCTTGATACTAAGGATTCTGAACAGTTCTGGGGGCTCAATAGAGTAAGCATCATTTTGCAGATAGAGAAATGAAGTCCGAATTGCTAAGCAACTGTTAACTTGTCCAAGGTTAGAAGGCTGTTTCCATTACACCTTGCACAATGCCTGCACAGCTGAGACGCTGCTTTAACCACTAATAAACTTCACAGAAACAAATACACCACACGCTGGGCAAGTACTCTTTCTCCTGTCTAGGCTGCCACAAAATCTTTAAAAACTCAGACATTAAAAGGCTATCTTTTCAATAAATATCTGCACTACACCCAGCACAGCCTAGGACCAAAGCTGAAACTCATCTGATTCACCTGCCAAGGTGTGAGTTTTCAGTGTCGCTATTAATAAGCAAAGCATCCCTCAATGCATGATGGACTGTTTCTACTATGGCTGCCACTGAGCACCTCATTTCTCAATTTGATTTACAAAAGAAAAACATCTCCAGGGTTCTTGTCCTATATTTGTTTATTTACCTTAGGCCCCACCTTGTTACAAAAGTATTTAAAGCAGTGGTTCTTAAATACATCTGACAGTTCTCAATTATTCAAGCTGGTTTTTCAGTGTCTAGAGTTTCTCTCTTCTAGCTTTGCTCCCCCTCCATTCCCACCTCACAGGTGTGCAAACACCTATAGTCCAGAAATAAGTTTGTAATTATCAGTATGGTCAAACTCAAAGAAACTGCACAAAGAAAAGTTAAGTCCTACTTAATCACATACATATTTCCTTCCTATTACTACCTCTAGTGGGCCAGTGACAAGGAGCCAGGTTTACGCAGTTGTCGAGTGGGTAGATGGGCAGTGGGGGAAAGGAGAAGCCTCGGGGAGTCCCTGGACTCAAAGAGGGAATGCTGCTGATAGAAAGCATATCTCCTCCACCCACTCTGCCCCTCTTCTCTTGTTAAGTCTGTGACCTTGGAATCAACTTCTCCAGGCATCAAATTCTCTGTCAAGCAAGGGTAATTGGGAAGACAAAGAGGCATGGAAGTGAAGGTGCTTTAGCTTCACTCATGTAAGTGATTTGTGTGTGTGTGTGTGTGTGTGTGTGAGGAAGATTGGCCCTGAGCTAACATCTGTGCCAATCTTCTTCTACTTTATGTGGGATGCTGCCACAGCGTGGCTTGATGAGCAGTGTTGGTTCACGCCCAGGATCAGAATCGGCGAACCTGGGGCCACCAAAGGGGAGCACACAAACTTAACCACTACACCACCAGCCTGGCCTCTGTAAGTGACCATTTTAAAGGGAGGAATCCCCCTCTGAATTAACCAGTAGGGACCAGGTCTGTAGGATACGCAGTTTGTTTCCCAGATCCTGACCAGGGAGAACAGCCTCACTCCCTGATTCTCAGGGCAGCACCATGGGAGTCTCCTTAAAATCACTCAGTCGTAAAAGTGTTTTTCAGTTTAAAGTAGACATGGAAAAGTGCTCCCTCTTTTCTAAAGACACAGGTGATTTTATTTAAGTATTTGACAAGGAGACTTTCCCACTCTGCATTGTTTCACTAGTGAATAATAAGCCACCTAGCACCTTTTGTAATAAGAGAGCATATTACCCAACCCAGAGCAACATTTCTGGGATCTGAATCATAGTCCTCTCTTATACGCTGGTTGTCATTGTTAATATAGGCAACCCACAACAAACCATCAACCTCTAAAAAGGAAGGCTAAGGGCCAGCCCCAGTGGCCTAGTGGTTAAGATTAGCACGCTCCACTTTGGCAGCCCAGGTTCAGTTCCCTGGGTGTGGACCTACACCACTGGTCATAGCCATGCTGTGCTAGCAGCTCACATACAAAAAGAGGAAGATTGGCAACAGTTGTTAGCTCAAGGCAAATCGTCTTCAGCAAATAAACAAATAAAAAATAAAAAGGAAGGCTAGGGGTCAGCCCAGTGGCGCAGCAGTTAAGTTTTCATGTTCCGCTTTGGCGCCCCAGGGTTCAGCGGTTCCGATCCTGGGTGCAGACATGGCATGCATGATAAGCCATGCTGTAGCAGGAATCCCACATATAAAGTAGAGGAAGATGGGCACAGATGTTAGCTAAGGGCCAGTCTTCCTCAGAAAAAAGAGGAGGATTGGCAGATGTTAGCTCAGGGCTAATCTTCCTCAAAAGAAAAAATTTAAAAAAAAAAGGAAGGCTAAATGATAACTTGGTTTTTGAGATCTCCCCCTCAAGCCCCCACATAACCATAAAAATGAAATAACAGGAAAATCCATCTTATGTGGGTCCAGCTGTGATAATCCCCCAATATAAGAGTGGGGCAAGACAGGCTTTAAAGGACTCTTGCATTATCTAAGATTCTAGATGCTGAGGAGAGTCTAAATAATCATGTTCAGTGGCCAACAGAGAACCACCTGAAAAATGGACCCTTGGGAAGGTTTCTACCCTTGATATTCTGGGGCAATAATAAAACATCTTGGCCACTGTGCCTTCATGGATTCCGCAGTACACTTAATTCGACTCTCATTTCAGGCTTTATGAAATGTTTCCTCTTCTCTCTGTGTTAATATGTGTGACCCTAATTAGGCACAGGCAGAAATAGATTAGGAATCCACCACATGTTCAGATTCATAACTGTATTATTAAAAATAATAATACATAAGAAATGCCTCCTGGGTCCGTCCCGTGGCCAAGTGGTTAAGTTCGTGCGCTCCACTTCAGCAGCCCAGGGTTTCGCAGGTTCGAATCCTGGGCGCGGACATGGCACTGCTCATCAAGCCATGCTGAGGCGGCATCCCACATGCCACAACTAGAGGGACCCACAACCAAGAATGTACAACTATGTACCGGGGGGCTTTGGGGAGAAAAAGGAAAAAATAAAATCTTAAAAAAAAAAAAAAAAAGACATGCCTCCTAGTGATCCTCAGAGGTCCAAAAACAGAGTAACCATGGCCTCCATTTCCACTTTCCAGGTAGCCATCACAGGTGCTATTTGGCAATGGATCATACCAGCTTCACAATCATAAAGTCAACACAGTATGTACAAAGTTCCACACGAAATAAATATCCAAGAAGCTCTAAGGTTAAAACGGACACTTCCATCCAAGGGAAAAAAACAACTAGAGCAGATCCCTTTTCATCTAAACTGCTTGCTCCCACCCAAAACAACTCTCAGAATCCAAACTTAGACTCTCCCATCTGGCAGTCGACCAAAGACAGCTTCACCTCATCTTCCCTTCTGTCCTTCCCAGGTAAGCCAAACTCCTTCCTCCCCCGACAAAACCCTCTTCTTCAACTCCACATATTCCAATGATTAAGAGTGAACTGTCTTTCTTTTTGGGCAGTAACCTCCCCCAAGAAAGAGATCCACTCTGTTCTTTACGGGATAGTCCTGCTGTGCTAACTGCATCCTCGTGGACAATACTTAAGTGACTGAAAACTCAGGCTGAGGAAGGCAAGAAGGCAAACAGCAGGATACAGGAGAGCAGTATGTTTCAAACTTTTCTGTGACACACAGAAACACATTGTCTAACATCTTCTAACGCACTCACACGTACGTGTATACCTGAAGCAAATGTCAAGAAACAACACTTACCCTTACTAAGTACAATGTTCTCTCCTATCTTATTCCACTTTTTTTAATGATGGTTGTGTTTCACTAAACTGATTTCTGATAAACCAACGGGATTCAGTTTGAATGGCAGTTCAGTTTGAATTGCAATAAATCAAACCCTACAGCTGCATTCTGCAAGCTACTAATGAACCCTTTAAAAAGACAGGAGCCAGCA